CGCAGTCGCGCAACACCCGCAACCGCCTGGATGCCGCCAAGGAGCTGAAGAAGCTGGTGGGCAGCTGGACGGTCCCGCCGCCGCAGCCGCTGCTGGCCTTGCCCCCTAGTCGCCCTGCCCAGCCCAGCCCGGTGCCTGCGCCCCGCCCCCGCCTCGCCTCGCCCGTCCCACTCTCTTTCCTCCCTGCCCGCAGGTCTTCTTCTCCAACATCGTGGTGGCGCCGCTGGTGGAGGACCTCAAGGTATGCTTTCCTCCCCCCCGCTTTCTTCCATTCTTCCTTTCTTCCTGCCTCTCTTCCCTCCTTCCTTGCTGCCGCGTGTTGCCGCGGCCTCGCTCCCCACCTCGCATCAGCCGCGGCGGGCCCCGACCGCATCGTGCCGGGCCGCCAGCCACCAACTGCTTGTCGTTGTCTTCCCTCGCCTCCCGCCCGGCCCCCACCACCCGCCCGCCCCCGCCCCATCTTTCCACCCTGCCGCAGACCGAGGAGGAGAAGGCGGCTGAGGAGGCTGCGGCCAAGCAGCAGAAGGAAATGATGGAGCTGATGAAGAAGGCGCAGGAGGAGGCGGCGGCAAAGGCCAAGGCCGAGGGCGAGGCCGCCGCCGCCGCGCCCGCCGCTGCCGCTGACGCCGCCGCCGCCGAGGTCGCTCCCGCCGCCGAGGCCGCTCCCGCGGAGACCGCCGGGGCTGCTGAGGCCGAGGCTGCGGCTGCAGCTTCTCCCTCGGAGGGCGGCGAGGACGGCGCTCCCGAGGCTGCCTCTGCCGCCGCCGAGGCGGAAGTCAAGGAGATTCTGGCGGAGGCGACGGCCGCCGCGGCCGCCGAGGAGGCCGAGGAGGCGGCCGCGGCGGCTGCGGCTGCCAAGGTGAAGAGCCTGGAGAAGGCGGAGGTGGCGGCGGCGGCGCGGGCGGGCGGCGAGGCGGTGGGCGGCGGCGCCGTCATGCGCAGCCAGAAGGACGTCACGCTGGCGGAGGATCTGGACCTGCGGGACAGGTGGGCTGCCAAGCTTTGGATAAGCTTTTGTTATGCTGTTTTTGAGCTGCTCATGCTGATGAATGCGAGTGCGGCAGCAGATGCGGCGGCGGCCTGGGTGGGGTGGGGGGCGCGTGGTGGGCGGCGGCGGGCCGAGCGCCGCCGTGTCGGCCTGCGGCGGCGGCGTGCCGGCCCCCTTGCCCCGCTTGCGTACCGCATATGTACTGCCTAAGTACCACGCGTGTACTGCCCGCAGGACCGACATCTACAAGAACTTCCTGCTGTACTGCATGACGGGCGATGTGGTGCAGGGCCCCATGGGCGTCACCATGGTCACAGGTGGGTGGGTGGGGGTGCTGGGTGGGTGCTGGGTGGGACT